AGGTCAACCTGAGCCAAGGTCCTGAGTCTAGGTCAACCTCAGCCTAGGTCAGTGACAGCAGTGCGGATGAGCTTAGACTAAAAAAATTTGCACGGGAAGGGCAGTGGCTAAGAATGCGGTTGGTCACAACCTGAGTTGGGTCACCGGCTTGGACGGTCATTGCCTGGGTGGGTGACAGTCTCCTCCATGAACCAACCAGGGTGAAAGCGGCACGGGAAGGGCCGAGGCAACAATGCTAAGAGTGGCAACGAATGCGTCACGGGGCTCTGCTAGTCCCTTGGCAGTTTGCAGAATACGTAAGCAACTCGGTGTGTAACCAAAAGTTGCGCGTTGACCCCCTCTGACAGACCTACGAGAACCATGACTCATGGGCTGTGAGCCTCAGGCTTGAAAGGCATGAAAGCGAAGGTCTGACTGGGGAGGATAGGAAGGCTTACCTCTATTTAGGGATTCCGCAACTCGAAGTGTCTCAGTGGCGGCGCAGTACGTCGATCGGTATTGCGTGGTGCGTCGTGGCACAGCGCGGCAATTTCAAAAGTGTTGCAACGGAAGGAGGCGAGCGGGCCAACTAGTGACGAGAGCACAGGATGCGCAGAGTATAGTACGAGTGGAAAGGGAATGGCGTCGCCGTGAGTCGCACTGGTCTTGTAGAGGCTATTCGCGTCATATTCTCTTGCGATGGGAGATTTCGCCTACTATGCGCGACGACTCAACAGACACAGCGGTGGCTAAACTACCATGCGTCACTGGAGTAGGAAGGATTCGCACGGGAGATCAAATTACGACCCAGTACTCGAATTTCGAGTTCAACACATACGTTCGCTTTTAGAACAAAGCCAATTTCGTGTTTGAAGTTACCACCAGTTTCTCACGACGAATTATCTGTTCGCAAAACTGCAAAGCGAAGTGCCAAACAAGCAGGCCTTCTGTCGTTCTCATTTCGTCCAAGCACGGCCTCGATTAAGGTACGGATTTGAGGCACTCCAAATTCGATGCCTGAGCTCGTGAGTTGCCACACAGGCTGAGTCGGGTCAACGAAGTTCGCATTCCCGTCGTTCGTTACTTGACCGACATTTGCACGGAGTTACCCCTCTAGATGTCTGCTCGCCAGCTTCGTACATCCATCGTCGAATGAGGCGAGCCTGGTAACCCAGCATCAACTAGAAAAACCATGCAAGCTGAACTACTGTCATAGGGCACGCTCAACGACCACTCTTGTGGCACATACATGCTCACATGCTCATCGCGCAGAATCTACGAGTCGCTTGGCGCTTTTAGTTATCAGAAGCGTGTGTAATACGCTTCCTTTCAGTAAGTATCAGTTAGCAGTTAGTATCAGGTAGTATCAGTCATCAAGATAGAACTCCTCCTCTCCCTCCTTGCGGTGTCTTATCTTCTCCTCGTTTTACCGCTCGCTCTCACTTCTAGTATATCTTTCCGAAGCCATCGCATTCTCTCGTGTGGAATTCGCAACTCCAGATTTCGGATCGTTTGGCGTACCTGGCGCCCGTTGCGGAGCTCAGAGACAAGTGCCTGCGCTAGTTTCTTACCACGACGTTTTAATGTTCAAAACCCTAGAAACAGGTAAGTCTCGTCCGTTATAGCATCCATTTTGGCTTGCACACCAGCAATACCCTGAAGCGTCATTTTCCTCCTTTCGCCGATGCTTTTCAGTCCTCTTGCTCCCGACCTGTTTCTCCCATGCTCGTACATATACCACTCCAAGGTCTCCATTCCACGTTTCCAGCTTAGCGCACTGAAAGGAAAGGCACGCAAACGGTCGTTTAGTCATGCATGGAGCGTCGCGCTTCCATGCTCTCATCAGGGCAAATTGAACGCCCAATCGCGCATTCACTGACATGTGACGTGTGAGGAAACTGAACGAAGGCATCACCAAGGATCAAGTGACGTGTGACCTGACGTTGCAGCAAGGACCGTAATCACAAATCCGTGCTTTTTTTCGGCCCTTAAATTTCCGCGATTACGCAATTTTTTCTATAACTTGTATGTGGAAATATTATTTTCTTTCTTTCTTCTTTTTCGCAAGAGCTGTTAGCTCGCATTTCGTTTACAAGGATCTTGACAAGTTGTTCTACTAAGGAGGTGTAACGAACGTGGCTCCCCTTGTTATTCTTGCCTGGGACGAGGTAAGCAACAGTGTTGCTACATCACTCTCCTCGCCCTCAACACCCTTACGGAATCCCACCCTGCGCTACCTCAGTATCCACTCTGCCCCCCATCTTAACCCAACTGGAAACCCACTCTTCCTGCCCAGTTGAAAGCCACCCTGACTAACCGAGCAAGTCATTCTGACAAGTCATGCAAGGGGCCAATGGCAAGGAGATTCTACTCGCAAGTATCTGCCGAGTAGAAACGAATCCTCCCTCGTTTACCTAACAAGCGAGTGACTTGCCTTGCATCAGTTGAGTAATTTGGATGAGGCAAGGCGTTATATATAACCACATTGAATATTAAAAATCAAATGAGTGTTTGCCCACCATTCGCCCACGTCATCATAATTTGAATGTCGCTCCCCCTTGCTGGTATCCTGTGCGTCTCCCTGTTCATACCACAGTGCCATCCAGTTTGGGCATTCTGCAGTAAGGAAGGAGCCGGCTGAGCCAGTAAGGTACGAGAGCAAACCCTTCCTCCTATACAAGGCAACCCCACTCTCGATGCCAGTGCTATCCACGTAATGACATCTGTGCAGCACCGGTTATTGCACGAATGTGTGTTCAGCACCTCCGTACCCTCTTGGTTAGATGTAGTGAAGTCTAGTCTGGTTTTCGAAAGTAGTAAATGTTAATTATCATTCACTGTGGAGGTGTTAGCCAGTTTGTGTTAACCAAGAGGATACGGTGGTGGTTGCACAGTGAATGCTAGCGGAGGTGTTAGCCAGTTTGTGAATGCTAATCCATTATTGGTTGCACTTCTCAATAACCGAGTCTTTATACACTGCGACTCGCAATCTTTGATTCTTCAAGTCTTATTCCTTGAAACCCGCGTAGCAGTTACCACCATCCATCCACCTAGTATTCCTCATGTGTTTGGTGTCTTCTTTTCCTTCGATTGGTTTTCAATGCTATCTCTTGCTTTTTGAGTGGTTTCTGTTCGTTTGGGGTGTCCGTCTGCGTCGTTGCTGAGCTCCGTTTCAAGTTTCTGCGCAGCATAGTCTCTCTTACCAGCATGGCGTTTTTCTCTGTGAAACCTTGTGACTTGTCATATAATTCATGCTGGTTCTCAACCAGTGCAATCACGATTTCTCCCCTTTCACATGGGTCTTGCCCCCTACTCTGCGCTATGATTGTCTCATGTGCCTCGTACAACCTGGCGTTGCTTGAGCTATTTTTTTCTTCTTCAAAGTAGTACATATGCCTCCTTCTCATTTGTTGCCATTCCATGTTCCTAGAGCTTACCAGAAAAGGCAGAAAGAGCAGTAAACGGCCGTTCATGCATAGGAACACGTACCATGATTGAAGTACCATGGTTGGCCGTTTCCAATGACCATTGAGGTGTGACACGCTCAGGGAAAACTGAACGCCAGTGTTCAGGCTCTAATGCATTGTCAAGAAAACAAGGCAACGCATGAGTGGACACTTTGGTGAGTCCCGTCCGCGTCACACTACCCCTACCCCTTTGCTATCATCATTTGAGCCCATTCTATTTCATCCGCTTTATCTTTTATTTCCTAATAAACGGTTTCTTCCCATGAGCTGTACCAGATAACATCTCATCTACCAGACCTGTCCAGGTAGAACTCGCACCTCGGTCTTTTGTTTTCATAGCTTGGGTGTTGCCAGGAGCTACCGGTGGAGCGAGAAATACTCTTCTCGTTTGGGGTTTACCCTGTGCGACTAGCATCATGGCGTACATACTAGCGCATCGTGTGGTTTTCCCCCTTCGCCGCCTCTTCACTCCCTTTCTGGGGCAATTTCTTGCCCGAGACGAGGCAAGCAACAATCGCCTCACCATGAACTCCCTTGCAAAAATTCAGCCTGCACTACTAAACTATCCACCCTGCTCCCCTCCCACCCTCACCTGCAATCTCACACACCTGCTTCACATGAAAACCACCCTGACAAGTAGGTGTAGTTATTTGGGAATAGGCAAGTCGCTCTTGAGGTCAAATGGTGTGGAAAGCCTACCTGCAAGTAGGTTCTCCATAGGCTTTCTCTGCCGAGCAAAAAGCCAGTGTTTTTATACTCATAACCAGAACTCGCCTCACCTCAGTCGAGTTATCTGAAAGGGTGAGGCCTGTGTGAGTGAGATGGCTGAGGCAAGGCCTCAGCCTCGCCCACTTTAAATCGGAGGAATGAGACGAGTGTTTGCTTGCTGTTCGCTCACGTCCTCTTGGATTGGTCGGATCACGCTCCTGTTCCTTCTCTTCCTGCTTGAGCCCTCGTTTTCCTCCATGCATGAGATGGATATCCACCTCCACCTATCTCCATGCGTCCACCCCCCCACCCGATTTCGGCATGCCACAGTGGGAACTTCCGGCTGAGCTCAAGCAACACAAATGGCTGTAGATGGGGAGACAAGTGAGATAGCTGAAGCAGTGAAAGGGCTGTTTGGATTGGTGAGAGGGGAGTTGGCAGCAGTGAAGGGGGAGCTGGCGGCAGTTAGGGAGGAGGTGGCTCGGCAGAAGGAGCAAGTGTTGATGCTGGAGGAGAGGAATGAAGTTTTGGGGAACGAAGTGAATGAGTTGAGGCGTGCAGTGAGTATTAAAGGGGGAGAGGGCGAGAGGAGTGAGTTGGCAGCGGTGAAGGAAGAGTTGGCTGCAGTAAAATGGGAGCTGGCTGCAGTAAAGGGGGAATTGGCAACAGCGAAATGGGAGCTGGGTGAACACAAGCAGTCAACTGCATTGCAGCTGGAGGAGGCTGAGAGGAGACGAGTGGCGGGGATGAGGGAGATGAAAGGGCAGGTGGAGGAGAGGGAAAGGGAGGTGAGTGTAATCAAGATGAAGCTGACTGAACACAAGAATTCTATTGCAGAGCAGTTGGATGTGGCTGAGAGAAGACGGGAAAACGAATCGAGAGAAGTGAAGGAGGAGGTCAGAAAGGGAGTGGATGAAATGAGAACAGAGTTGGCAAGGAAGATGGAGGAGAGGAGGAGGGAGGTGCAGGAGTTGAATTGGCCACGTGCCATGGAGGAATTGGCAGCCTGCAGGAATTGGGTGAATGTTGAGCTGAAAATTATCCAGAGTACAGGCCCTCAGAAGACTGCATGGGAGGTGAGTGCTGAGTGAACTGTTTCTAGGGCATAAGTAGTTTGGTATTGTAACGATGCATTTATTGGCCATGTGCCATAATTGCCAGTCTGTAAGGAGTGGCAGTGACAGAAGGCCCAAACTTGTATTTGAGCTGCAAATCAGCCAGGGTAAATCGGTTTCACACGGTATGCATTTTTGGGCAGACCATGCATTGTTTTTTCAATCCTGAGCTGCCCCCCCACCCTCCCTTAAAGAAAAATACCCAAGACTTCAGAGCTGCGTGTAGCATCCTGCGCCTGGATGGTCACGTCCGGACACTGGATGCTTTATGGGCCGTGCATGTATTCCAACTTGGGCTGTTACATGCTGGCCATTCCTTTTTTTTGTCATTCATTCCCTCTTCATCCACCCCCTCCAGAGAATCAAGGTAGCATCAGGAGGGACCAAGCTGAGCCTGACGAGTCTCCACGGCCTATCAGACGACATGCTCGCCCACGTGTCCACCATGAGCCATCTAAAGAGCATTGACCTGGACTCTAGCTCAGGTTTCAGTGCAGAGGGCATCAAGCACCTGTACATGCTTCCACGGCTGGAGACGCTAGATCTCAATAACACAAAGCTCGATGACAGTGCCTTGGAAGGCATTGGGTCGATTGTTGGGCTCAAGCACCTCTATCTCCATCGCACCAATGTGACAGACGCAGGTCTACCGCACTTTGCACACTTTTCCTTTCTAAGAAAACTGAGGCTCTCTAAATGCAAGGGTGTGACAAATGCTGGCATGGTGCATGTGGGGAGGCTGACAGGGATTGAGAAACTTTGGCTGCGTGGCACGGCAGTCACGGATGATGGGCTGCAGCAGCTGACTGCCCTGACCAAGCTGAGAACTCTCCAGCTGCCGAATGGGAATATGGTCAACGATGAGGATGTGCACAGGTGGATAGGCAGGAGGTAGGGTGACAGGGTGTGGAGGGAAAGGGGTGTGGAGGAGTGTGCAAGTCGACTTGGCACAGCCTTTCCTGTGTACAGCCTAGAGTAGCTTATGTGCGATTTGTATATAAACAGCAGGGGTGTGTATGCATGTTAGACCATGGAGGAGGCATGCATGGAGGTGCATGGCCTACCGGTATTCGAGGGCATTGTGTTGGCTAGGCTGGTTAGTACCGTATGCTGCTGCATTGCCCGCCCATACCATAGTGAACTGGGACTGGCAGGTTTGACTGAGCTGAGTGGCATGGTACACATGGTGGGGTTGCAAGGGCTGTACATGGGCATGCAAGCCAGTGCCTTCCCTTGGCAAGGCTTTTCATGTACACAGCCTAGCATAGTAAGGGAATACGTGACTTGTAGCATCTTCTAGAACCCCTCTGGCAAAGACTACCATATCAATGAAGCAAAAACATTTTATCTACAATGCCTGGCTGGTTGAGTATTGTTAAAAAATATTATAGCACAAGGCATAGGTTGTTGACAGAACACCCCCAAATTCCAGCCCCACACTTCACCCACACAATCATCTACAAGGCACCCTGATCGTGTCCCTCAGAGAACAAGAATATTTTGCAGGCATGGGAGTACAAGTGAAGGGCAGGGCATGGCAGTGCGTGTGCAGGGCTGAGGGGGGCACTGACAATATGCAAAAACAGAAGCGATCTGGGAATGGCAAAGGAGTAGGATGCATAGTATGGAGTGAGGTATGCAATAACATATGTCCTGGGTCATAGTTCCAGGATGAGGCATAGGCAGCAAGCCTATTGAGGCTTCATAGGGAGCTGATGCAAGGATGGAGGGGATGGGGCAATAACAGATGCATGGTGACAAAGGCCGCAAACACATCTTGGAAATGTTGCAGAGAGTGGGGGAGGGGAGTCAAGACAACTGGCAGGGAGGAGGTGAAAGGGATGTGCAACCTTCAGAATTCCAGCCTCTCCAGCCCATGGCCCAAGCATCACCTCCCCTGACTCGTCCTCTATAAATATAGGCAATGAGCGGTGCGCAGACATGAGAGGGCACAGCACTGATAATTCGCAAGAGCAGAAGAGGATTGGAAGGAACAGACTATCAGGATACGCACCAGAGGATGAGGTATGGAAGGAGATGTGCATACACACCTGTGGCACCACTAGTGTTGGGGCGCACGGCAGTTCATGTATCATTGATCGCCATTAGCTGTGGACCTACCGATTTGACTTCCTATTTTCTACTGCTGTGCCAGAAAGTGCGCGTAGCAGAGCCATGCCTTCACCATGGTGGCATGGCGAGGAGGGACGTGAGGCTCATGGAGAGGGCAACTGAGGGAAGGTGATGCATGGGACACGGCCATGCCACTGCTAGGAGCTGCTGGAGGGAGACAGGGGGATGGCACAAAAAAGTGAGGGGTCGGGAAGGGAGGGGTTGGAAGGGTGAAAGTTGGAAATATATATATTAAAAAAACGGTTGATGTACGTGTGGCATGGAGTGAAGTGATGGGTACGGCATGATGGAGCTGTGCGAGTGAGGTGCTGATAAGTACAAGGCACGAGGGTAGGAAAGGCACGAGGGTAAGCCATGAGTGTTTTAACCAAATAGGTTTCCTAAAACCCCCATGTCGGCCTGCCCCATTCCGCCCTGCCGCATGCTGCCCTGTCGTTAAGTGACACGCTGCCCTGTCTCTACAGCACCACACCGCTGCGCCGCCCCATCACCATGGTGATGCTGTGACAGCAACAAACGCTGCTGCCCACCATGCCACCGGCACCACCGTTGTGGGCACTGGCGGTGCTGCCATGCTGAGGGCGCTGGGGGCAGTGCAAGGAGGAGGAGGCGGGTGCTGACATGATCGCGCCTGTGAGGATTCGCCGCATCTGTGAGTGCCACATCAGCTGCCAGCAGCCGTGCCGTGGAGCCCCACATCCATGCTCGCGCTCCTATCGCCCATGCTGCCCATGCTGCGTGTGCTACCTATGCTGCCTGTTCTTCTTGCTGGCCGCTGCACTCCCTCCATGTCCATGTGCCCCTGTCTCTCCCACCCAGTTATCCCCCTCCCACCTGCCGCCCTTGTGCCTGCGCGTATGTTCATATTGGTCAAATTGCCGCTCATGCTTCCCCCCATGTTCTGACCCAAGCGCCCCCCCTCGGCCCCTGCTTGATGGGGCGAATGAGGAGATATGGTGCTGAGGACACTGCAGACACGTGGTGCGGGATGGCATGGCGTGGGGGGGCAGTAAGGAGCAGGGGAGGGCGGCCGCTGAAGCAACATCCAGTCGCCAGTATGCGCATCTCCTCCTTCCTTCACCCCCTTCCTCGCCCAGCCCCACTGCTGTCCCCTCCCACGCTCGCTGCATCTCACTCTTATCCCCACCCGACCCCCCCACTCCTCTCGGCTGTCCACGACTATGATGAGAAAGACGCAACCAGGACGCTGCGTCCTGCGTCTGGACGCAGCGTCCGGACGCTAGGACGCAGGACGCGCGTCCAGACGCAAGACGCACCCCGAAATTTTTTTCGGGCAGCCCAGAAAAAAAACTTCGATCGCGATTTTGACATTTGCGATTTCGACGTGAATGTAGTATGCATGGTCGTAAGTGGTTGGATTAAACTTAATGTGTGTGAGACCTTGTGAAATGTGTGACGCGTGACTCACCTTAATCTTAGATTTTGGGGGAAATTTTTGTGGTTGGGGAAAAAATTGCATTGAAAGTGTGGTAGGTCCCCCCTCCACCCCCTCTCCCAAGCCCTATACATCTTTTTTTGGCCTGCCGGGGGGTTTTTTTTGCCCTGCCCGGGCTTGCGTCTTTTGGTGCGTCTTTAGGTCCAGGTTCTGCGTCCTGCGTCTGGACGCATGCGTCTGGACGCATTCGTCCAGGATGCAGGACTCGTCTTTCGCATCATAGGTCCACGAGCACTGCCAGCTCGTCCATCAGCCACCACTGTGCCGCTGCTGCTGCCTCCCGTGCCCTCTCACCCTCCCCCTCTCTCAAACAAGTTGCCGCGGGACAAGGGAGTGGGCGGAGGAGGCTACAGAGACGACACCGAGAACACCGCACCCCTCGGTGAAGGGAAGGGGAAGGAGAAGGAGGGGTGGCGGCAGAAGATTGGTAATCTGCCACGCAAGGAGAACCTCTTGTGGCTGCTGCAGAATTGACAAGCATATTCTCTTCACAGCATCTGCCACTGTTGCTGCCACTGTCTGGCCCTGTACCACGCTGTGCGTGGAGAGGCTGTGGGGGCAACCAGAGGAGCGGAGCGGAGACGGAGGGGGAAATGGCGTCGCTCGGGGCCGGGAACGGCCTTACCGGCATGGTGTGGGTGGCAGGTACGAAGCTGGGGTAGGCAGGGGCGGAGAGGAGAGGGGCCACGGCACACCGTGGCCTGCGCTGACGGAGTGAGACGGGCGCGGGGAATGGATAGGGACATGGGCGCAGTCGCCTTCCTCAGCAGCAACTGCAAATCCACAACGCCGCTTTCGCCCATGCCTCTCCGCCGCCCACTCCCGCAAACACATCCCTTCTTACCCTGGCGCTGCTGGACCCCTTGCTGCGGCTGCAGCTGCTGCTCTCCCCCAGGCTGCAACCACCTGTCAGGCTGCTACCCTTTGCATCCGCTCCGCGGAATCAATCTCCCACACTGACCCTGTACAGCTTCCGCCTGCTTCTCTCCGCACTCCCTGCGCCTGCCCCTGGCGTTACCGGATCGTCTGCCCATGCGATGTGTTGTTGGCTGCTGTGGGCGAGCCCATGCGATGTACACTTATTCTCACCCCATCGGGCTGATGGTGCACAGAGGCGGTCATGAGGAGCGCACATTGCGCCACTCACTCGCACGCACCGGTCCCGCGCACCCTTCTCCGTTGCGCTCTCCGCTTCCTCCTTCCCCTCATCCTCCCCCTCCCCCACCCCGCTCTCCTCTCCGCTGTCCATGTCCAGCGCTGCCAGCTCGTCCATCACCCATCGCACTGGTCTCACCGCACCGCCGCGTCTTGTGTCCTCCCACGCTTCCCCTTGCTCGGGCAAGTTGCCGGGGGACGGGGAGCGGGCAGGGCGGAGGAAGCTACAGCTGATGGCACCAAGAACAGGTGCGGCCGCGCCTGAGCTGGCGGCGCTGGAACAGCCCGGTCCACCCCGGCTGCAGCTGCTGGTGCCCGATGGTGTGCGACCCCTCTCGACTGCCCTGTGCTGCCCGCCTCTCTCACTACTCCACCCTCGCCATCCTGCTCCCCACCCGAGCCTCCCCAAATCCATCCCGTGCCTTCCCCTCCTCTCCGCACGCAATATGCTGTCGCCGCCACCCTGTCACCGCCACCCTCACCTCCCCTCACCGCACTCCGCTCCTCCTGGACCCTTCGCATCTCCCCCGCTGACCCTGCGCCGCTTCCGCCTGCTCCTCTCCCCACTCCCTGCGCCTGTTCCTGGCTTTGCCGCATCGTCTGCCCCTGTGGGGTTGGCTGCTGTCTTTGAGCCCGTGTGATAGTGGCAGGCAGAAAACTACCACTGCGAGCTCCATCCTACTGTCCCTGCTCTCCCAACACGACATGTGGAGCACCACTACCGTCACCAGCAACACCACCAAAATCAACACCAGCACCATCGCCACCACCAAAATCAACACCAGCACCATCGCCACCACCAAAATCAACACCAGCACCATCGCCACCACCAAAATCAACACCAGCACCATCGCCACCACCAAAATCAACACCAGCACCATCGCCACCACCAAAATCAACACCAGCACCATCGCCACCACCAAAATCAACACCAGCACCATCGCCACCACCAAAATCAACACCAGCACCATCGCCACCACCAAAATCAACACCAGCACCATCGCCACCACCAAAATCAACACCAGCACCATCGCCACCACCAAAATCAACACCAGCACCATCGCCACCACTAGCAACCAGTAGCAAAACCACCAACATCACTGGTGTGAGAGAGAGACAGGAAGAAATCGCAGTGGAAGGCACTGAGACGAGGCCTGCTACCGCCGTTAACCCTTCGCGCCAGCCACTCGCATTGCAAATACCTCGGAGAAGTCTCAAGATGCCGCATTGTTGACAAGCATTCGTGCCGGAACCAGAAACTCGTAAGGCAAAGTGTAGTTATGGGTGTAGGAAATCCTAATCGATACCCACTTCCTCAATATTACCTTCTCTGTCGCTCATGGCATTGGAGGTTAGCTTCAAAATCCCAGCTAACCTGTCTCAATGCGACTTTTGAGGCGTCTAGAAATCTTTAAGCACTTCCTGGAGTTTTGACTACATTTCTCGCATATGGCGTTCGAGGTCAGATTCCGAATCCCAGCTGATTTGGTCCGACGCGGATCGGACGACAATAGAAATGACGCGTGCAGCAGCCGTAGTGATGTCAGCAGTCACAGCGACGTCATCAGAAATAACGAGGGCGGTTCGCTAGAAAATAACCAATCCGCATCTTACGTTGTCGCCGCCCTTACAGTTTCACCAACGGATCTTCTCGGAACAGTCTTCAGAAGACTGTTTCAGTCACATCTACCACACTGCTGCTTACCGTGCGAGACACGTCAGCTGCCTGGAGCACACGTCGGAGAGAAACCGCCGGAGATTGATTCTGATTCTTGGATACAGAAGCAGCAACAGACTGTCCGCTTCATGGTTTCTGGGCAGGTAGCGTACCTTTCTCCGCAGACAACAGTGCAGCGAGCCAAGCTAAAAGTGGATACAACCATTCTAGTACTCCCTGTTAAAGCAGTGCATCATGGAGAAGGCTCTGGTGAAGCTGAATCAGCAAGTGTTGCAGGAGATGTCGGTCCAGCTGTGGCGCCTTCTGTGGACGTGCCTCATGCCCCCGCTACTGCTACCTCTACCGCTGCTGCTGCTGCTGCTCCACCCGTCGGAGGTCTCGCTGCTAACGCTCCTTCACTGGCTGCTGCTGTGAGTCCTTGTGCTGCTCCAGTGAGACCACCTGCTGCTGACGTGGCAGCACCTCCAGAGGAGGAGGAGGAGGAGGAGGAGGAGGAGGAGGAGGAGGAGGAGGAGGAGGAGGAGGAGGAGGAGGAGGAGGAGGAGGAGCAGAAGAAGGAAGGGGCAGGGAGTGCAAGAGCGGAGAAGCTTCAGCTGCTGTGTCGGGAGGACTTGGTTCACTACTTGGACGTGAGAGACGGATGGGACCCTGTTTGTGAATGTTGCTTCAACCGTGCTGTGAGTCAGCGCACACAGCACGCCCTCATCATGCACAGCCTCAAAGACTTTCGCTCCTATGTGCGATCGCGGCAGCCTGCGTCTGTCCCGTTCGCTCCCAATCGACAAGTCCAGGGTGTTTATGAATATTCATTGAAGGCTCCGCTGCCGGAAGCAGCAGTGCTGCTGGAGGTGGCGATGTCGATTGGGCAGTTCGAGCTAAAGTGCGGAATAGCGCCTTTGCCCTGCGTGGAAGCCATGCTCCTCGAGTGGATGGCTGAGCCTCGTGTGGGCGTGCTCATGGACCTGGGGAGGATCAGATCCCGCTTGCCTGCTATACTGGCTGCTGGTGATGCTTCTAACGAGGCTTCCACGTCTTCTGCTCCTTCTGCATCTTCTGTCCCTGTCATTGCTGCTGGTGGTGCTAAGGCTTCTGCTACTGCGGCGTGGTCCGGCTGCTGGCGGTGCAGCAGATGCTGGGCTGCCTACCGCCGTGCTGTCAGCTTCGCTACCTCCCTCGTGCTTGTAGCAAGGTGCCCCCGGTTTGTGACCCTATGTAGGGCTCATGCGGCAACTTCAAAGGCCTATCCAGCCATTGTGGGTGAGCTAGGGGCAGGCAGGCAAAAGGACGATGACTCTTTTGCTTCCATTCTGGTTCAGATCCTAGGAGTGAAGGAAAAAGGGGATCTGGAGGAAGGCTTTGGTGTTCAAATGCAGAATCTGCTGTCAGGCGGGCTGGAAAAGGTGCATGGAGAGAGGCGGGGGGGGGCAGGCTGGGACATGAATGGAGGATTCAGACGTCTCGTGAAGAGTCTGCTGTCAGGGAAGACGGCGCATGAAAAGAGAAAGGGGACAGGCGGGAGAGGAGGAGGATGGGGTGGAGTGGGAGGGCAGATGGAGAAGGATGGGCAGGGCGGGCAGTGGAAGGAGCACCTGAAGGGGCCTGTGTGGGAGAGGTATGTGTCTGGCATGGCGTGTATTCTGGAGCATGGAGGCGGGGAAGGGAGGGAGTTCTGGTGCAGCCATTGCAATTAGGGGGACAAAGGTGGTGGTAGCAGCGGCAGCTACAACTCTAGAGGCGATGGCAGAAGCAGCGGCGGATGCAGCAGCTGTGGCAGTGGCAGTGGCAGATGCAGCGTGGGTACAACAATATATCCCAAGGGCATGTATGTTAGTGGTGTGGGAGCCACCGACTTTGCCATTGCAGTTGCTGCAGTTTTGTCCAAGCCACAGCACTGCAAGGAGAGTGATTTCTACTTCCAGGATGGAAACACTGCGAGCAAGACAATAGTGGAAGATTCAGCCATTGAGACAGCCAGAGAGAGGCTGAGAGGGAGGGCACGGAGTGAAGGAGGAGCAGCGGGCATGGGAAGAGCAGCATCAGCTATACCTCCTGTATCAGCGCTGCCAGTGCCATCTGTGGCAGCAGAATATGCCTCTGCTGACGCTGCTCTGGTGCGACTTGTGCCTGTGAACACAAACCCGGTCGTTGCAGTCTTCACGTATCGTGCTGCCTGCATTCTGCAGTGGGCCCGCACATATGGGTCTGAAATCATTCCCATCAGTCAATGCTGCAAAGACAGCCCCCAGGGGAAGGTCCGGCCCATGCGCCACCCGCTCCGGGACCTTCCGAGCCTGCTGGTCAGGCTCGGCGCCATCCCCAAGCCGCTGGACGAAGGCAGCTTCCCATTGGAGTGGGAGGAGTGGCCTCGTGGCGAGTCTGCTGTTGTGAAGCTTCCTAATGACCCTAGTGCAAGATGCTTCCACCTGGGGATTGTGGAGGAAGCAAAGGGGGTAGCAGGGGAGCATGGGGCAGGAGAGAAGGGCGGCGAGAGGTCTTCTGGACAAGGGTCAAATGCAGGAAGCAAGATTGGGACCGTGACAGGGCAAGGAGGGGACAAAGGGAGGGGCAAGCAGGAGGAAAGGAGCAGTTGGCGTGGGGAAAAGGAGAGAATTGGAGGATTGAGGACGAGAGACGGCGAGGGGTCACTACGCAAGCTGCTCACAACGCTGCTGCCGCTAGTGCAGAGGAAATTCCCCATTGTTCTCTGCACTGCCGATGCCGAGTTTCTGGTGGAGTTTGCTGGGTTTCTGGTCAGGCCACCTGCATGTGCGCAGTGCAATGAGTGCCTTGGGGTCTACAGCCGTCCCATGCCCTTCCTCTTGCTCATCACTAACTACGCCTACCGACCTGTCACCACCCTTTTCAACCGCTTTGTATCCATCTTCCCTCCCCTCTCTCCGGAATTCGAGCGGCTCGCTGCTCTTATGGGTGTGGCTCTCGCTGCCAATGCGCCTGGCTATCTAAGATCGCCCGTTCTGCAGGCTCGAGCAGAGCAGTTTCCTGTTCTCTTCCTGCTCACTGTGGCTGTAAATTGGGCTGCCCCAATTCTGGGGATCACGGACCTGAAGTTCCTACACAGGCTGCGAGACGGAAAGGAAGATGATGGGAGGGTGTGGGAGGAGGTGCAGATGTGGTGGCTGGCGGTGGAGTTTGCATGGCAGGGTGGCATGAAACTGGAGGCTGACGTATTGAGAGACAGGTGCAAGGCCAGCAAGGGGCGGGCCAGTTGGGATGGAAAGGAGGGGGATGTGCTTGCGAGTGCCAAGGGGCAAGAGTTGTTGAAGCGGGCTGCCACACCCAGGTTCTGTGAAGACATGCAGGATGATAGTGGGCCTTCCGGTGGTGCCAGTGGGAGCAGCAGCCGCAGCGACAACTCAGGGAGAGACAGGAGAAACCAAGGGAGGAGGGAAGATGATGGGATGGGCGAGCCGGCTTATCTGAAAGCGTGGCCCGGGGGAGTGAATCTGGTGGCATGTCTGCGAGAGATGCTGCTGGGGGAGCCGTGCTACCGCCCTGCCTCCCCTGGTTCCCCTACTACCCCTGCTGCCCCTACCACCCCTGCTGCCTTAGCTGACGCCTCTTCCACCCCTGCTGCAATGAGCAACCGTGCTCCTGATATTCCAGATGTGCACGACCGATTATGCGGTGCTGCAGGATGTGGGAGGGTGGAGGGTGGTGGTGTGAAGCTGAAGAATTGCTCTGGGTGTGGCAAGGTGGCGTATTGCAGCAGAGAGTGCCAAAAGGCGCACTGGCCCTCCCACAAGCTCACATGCCCCGGCAGGAGCAACAGCAAGAAGAGTGGGACGACCAAAGGCTAGGTGAGTGGCATGAGGGAGGTGAAGGCGAGAGAGGGGAGTGGCAGGAGGGAGGTGAAAGCAAGAGAGGGAGTGGCAGGAGGGAGGTGAAAGCAAGAGAGGGAGTGGCAGGAGGGAGGTGAAAGCAAGAGAGGGAGTGGCAGGAGGGAGGTGAAGGCGAGAGAGAGAGTGGCAGGGGGGAGGTGAAGGCGAGAGAAGCAGGGCTGCGTTTTGCCGTAAAGCTGCGATGTTCACAAATTCCATTGTCTTACACAGATATTCGCTAGCAGGTGTCACAAGAGAAATCTAAGCCAGTGATCCCATGTGCTTGCTGACGCCCCTTGGCTGTTTGCAAGTGGGGAGGATGTGCGGGGTTCCTGCTGCTAGAATCGTTGTTCAATGCAACTGCTGTGGTACTGGCTTTGTTTCTGAACTACTGTCTCATGTCTGGTGTTTCCTGCAAAGGAGTTGGTTGTTACGTCTGTGTCACTTGCATGGCACCTGATAGGAAATGGTCCCTCTATTTCTAGACAAGTCCGTTTCGATTGTGTGGATCATATACCATAGCGCCTGAAGCACTAAATGCCTACAATGGTGGGCCTTCTGTAAGGAAAAACCCTTTTCCTTACTGGGGTTTACTCAACCGCGTACAACCCCAACTTTCGGAAGTGCACGTTCGGCCGCTTTGCTTGCTGCCGAAGCAACCTCGCGTCGCCTTCGGCTTTCCTTTGCCCAACCTGCACTCAACCTCGTGTTCCCGAGGTTCCCGCCTAGTTAGGTTGCCTCGCTATATAATCGCATGTCTTTCATTGTATCGTGAATCCATTGAGTCACAGCCTCGTTATTCGTTATTCCGCGCAACTCTGTTTGACAACTCATAACACCTGGTATCAGAGCTACTTTCCTAGTTCACCCCGCTTTTCCAGGGTAGTTTAGTGGCACGGGTGTGACTGGTACGGTGGGCTGCAAAGCGGTTGGTTGCAAAGTTTATTAAATTAAACTTGCCCGACTCCGATAGCTTTTGCGCTTGCACTGTTGCCGGATAGTCACGGAGACCCACTTGCCTGTTAGACGTAGCTTGCGACTCATGGACCAGGCGGCATTTGACGCGTTGATGCAGCAAGTGGCGGAGATGTCGGCAGGCATGAAGGCGTTAACGACAGAGGTGGAGAGACTACGTGAAGAAAACAACGAGCTACGCCAGGCGCGAGGTGAAGCGCGCCAGGAGTCGCCCGCTGAAGAAGGCGAGAGCACTGGTCAAGCGGTGAGCGGCAATCCGTTGGAGGAGCTCACACGCGGCTTCGAAGAAGAAGATAGGCAGCGAGCGGCGGCAGCGACAACAGTTGCAGTGACAACAATCAAGATAAAGCCTACGAGCCCGCCCCCGTTCAACCCTACCGACAAGAACACTACTGTTAAGGGGTGGTTGTTCGGCGTGGAGGTGTTCTTCACTGCAGCGAACGTCAACGACGACGCCACGCGTATTAATTACGCGGTATCGCTTCTGCGAGGCCCGGCGCTTGAGTGGTGGCGACGAACCTTGGACACGGGGACCCCGACAGGTGTGACACATGCGGCAGACGGGACTTCGGACTCTGCTATTGGGAGGGCATCATCGATATTCGGTGTGGCCACAATTCGCACGTGGAAGCAGTGGGGCGCAGCCTTACGAGAGCGTTTCGAGCATGTATCCGCCTCGGAACACGCTCGCATGAAGCTGCGTACCTGGTCACAGTTGGCTTCTGTTCAAGACTACACAGCGTCGTTTATGGCGCTCGCGGATCAAGTGGACGACATGGCGGAAGCTGAACGGTTGGATAAATACATCAGCGGCTTGAAGTATGAGATACAGTACGAGGTGCGCCGCAGCCGTCCAGCAACATTCAACGAAGCCGTCCGATTGGCCGAGAGCACAGACGCGCTGATGCAGTGGGCGAGATCGAGTTCTCGGGAGGGAAACCGATTTCGTGGACAGACCCAGCGGGCCACGATTAACGGAGTCCATGCGCCAGACCGCCCTTTTACAGGGTTGTGTTTTAAGTGCGGGAAGCCGGGCCACATGTATAAAGACTGCCCCGACAGGACGCAGGGAAAGAGGAACGACGGGAAGGAGCCGGGAAATGGGAAGAGTCAGTAACAGACGGGCCCCTTACTGACTGTGCTCTGTCGCCCGAACCCCACCATCCCCACCGAGTCGTGGTTCCGATTCATGCAATCGATCGCACTCGGACGAATAACGGGGGTGAACATGTGGATCACCCTGTGCTGGTTGTTGGCACGGTTGTTAAGAAAAAAATAAAAATGTTCGTCGATGGCGGGGCTAGCCATAGCCTCTTCAATCTGGCGACAGCAAAAAAATGCAAGTTGCAGCTGGACAGGTGTCTGCCCGAAATTGACGCCCGCCTCGTGGATGGGACGCCTCTGGCGATTTTGGAAGAAACACGGACGGTGCGGATTGAGTGCGGCGACGATTTCGGCTTCAGCATGAAGTTTCTCGCGACGACGTTGGACGGATGCGACGTGCTCCTGGGACGCGATTGGCTGCGACGGCACAACCCGGTAATCGATTGGACGACGGGATCGTGCAGCATCAGCAAGGACGGGAAGCTGATTACTCTGCCCGCGTGGACTCCGGACTGCATCGAGTCTACATGCGTCAAAGCCATCACTATTACACGCCACGTCAACAGGGGTGCGCAACTGTTCGCCGTATGCTTGCGCGAGTTGGCAGCCGACACCGACGGAAACGACATCGAGAAGCTGTGCGCAGCTGTACCACCTGATTTAGCGGAGCTGATTCGACAATACCCCGACATCTTCCCCGACGACCTGCCACCTGGACTACCACCCGAACGCCCCGAGGACCACAAAATCCAGCTGGAGCCCGGCGCGCAGCCGACTGTTCGCACTCAGTGGCGGTTGACTCAGCCCGAACTCGCGGAGCTTCGAAGTCAACTTGAGTCACTGTTGGAGAAGGGCTTCATCCGACCCAGTACTTCGCCCTTCGCCGCACCGATCCTGTTCACACCGAAGAAGGACGGCGGCATTCGCATGTGCATCGACTATCGCGCGCTCAACCGGGTTACCATCAAGTCTCGCTATCCCATCCCACGCACCGACGACCTCCTCGACCAACTTCGCGGCGCTCGCTACTTCTCAAAGATTGACCTACGCGGCGGTTACCACCAAATCAGAGTATTCGCTGACGATTGTCACAAGACCGCCTTCCGAACCCGCTACGGCAGTTACGAGTTCACCGTGATGCCTTTCGGCCTCACGAACGCGCCATCAACATTTCAACGCACCATGAACAGGGTATTTCGCGACCTGCTGGACAAGTGTGTTATCGTCTACTTGGACGATATTCTGATTTTTAGCAGGACACGCGAGCAGCACCTCCGCGACCTCGACGCAGTGTTTAAGCGGCTACAGGAGAACCGGCTCATCACCAAAGGCTCTAAGTGCGAGTTCTTTAAGCAAGAGTTGGAGTTTTTGGGGCACGTCATCTCACGCGACGGCATCAAAATCGACCCGAAGAAAATCAAGACCATCCAGGAATGGAAGGCCCCGACTAATGTCACAGAACTTCAGAGTTTTCTGGGGTTTGTGAATTATGTCCGGCGGTTTATCCCGAATATGGCGGGGATAACCGGCCCGCTGACCGACCTGCTGCACAAGGATAGGAATTTCGTGTGGGGGGAAGAGGCTGAGGCGGCTTTCCAAGAGTTGAAGCGGTTACTAATGTCCCCTCCGGTTCTTCGCATCGCCGACCCATCCAAGCCGTTTGAAGTTGTCACCGACGCTTCAGATTTCGCCATCGGCGCAGTGCTGCTCCAGGATTTTGGCAACGGCTTACAACCGATCGCCTACGAGTCACGCAAGTTGCAGGCAGCCGAACGCAACTACCCGATTCACGACAAGGAGATGCTCGCCATCATTCACGCGTTTAAACTGTGGCGATGCTACCTGACAGGCGCCGATGTCACTGTGCGAACGGACCACAAGTCATTACAGTATCTTCGCGCGCAACCCAACTTCAACCCACGACAAATCCGGTGGCTCGATTACATGGAGTCACACTTCCACTACAGGATCACCTACAAGAAGGGCGCGAACAACATTGCCGACGCCCTGACCCGACCAACCGTCCAATCCGCAGCTGTGCTGATCACCCATTCGAACCCGCTTCTTTCGGGGCTATTCACCCACGGCTACACTACGGACCCGTTCTTCACGACTGGAAATCACCAGCAGGCGACGACGCAGAAAGGGAATTATTACCTAAAGGCCGGAACTGACCGGATTTGGGTTCCCGCTTACCGGCTGCTGCGCGAACTCCTTATTCAGGAGGTCCATGATTCCAACCTCTCCGGACATTTCGGGGTTGATAAAACCCAGAAGTTGTTGCACCGCCAGTGTTATTGGCCTGATTCTGCTAACGACGTGCAGCGATATGTGTCCTCATGCAGGGTGTGCCAAGCCATGAAATCGACACGTCAGCGGCCAGCTGGGTTGCTGCAACCTCTCGAGCCACCCGAACGACCATGGCAACAGGTGACGATGGACTTTGTCACGGGGCTGCCAGCTGGGCCGTCCGGCAACGACGCTGTACTCGTCGTCGTCGATCGCCTCACAAAAATGGCGCATTTCGCACCTTGTCGCACGACAGTCACCCCCGAAGAAACTGCACGCCTCTTCATCTCCACCGTTGTGCGACTACACGGCATCCCATCGGCGATCATCAGCGACCGGGACCCAAAGTTCACATCGAAATTTTGGAGGGAGACTTAGGCGCAGTACGGAACGAAGCTACAGTTCTCGTCGGCATACCACCCGCAAACCGACGGCCAGACCGAGCGGACCAATCAGACGATGGAGCAGCTGATCAGGACAAACTGCCCCGACCCCGCTCGCTGGGAACATTCGCTCGCCATGCTGGAATTCGCGTTCAACAACGCTCCGTCCAGCACGACTAATCACTCCCCGTTCTTCTTGAATTACGGGATGGACCCGGTGGTACCTACAACGACTACACTTGACAACCCGGTCCCGAGGTCACAAACATTTGTGACAGAACTCCAAGAAATTCGCGAGAAGGCTGCGGACGCAATTCGCAAGGCGAATACCACTTCCCGCAAATACACCGACCTTTTACGACGGGAACTCGTCTTGGCAGCTGGGCAACTAGTACTACTGGACACGAAGAACCTGCACCTGCCCGGCCCATCGAAGTTACGGCCACGATTCTGTGGGCCTTTCAGGATCCTCAAGATGGTGACACCTGTCACCGCGAAGCTGCTACTACCCGACGACTGGCGTATTCACGACGCCTTCCACGTCAGCTTATTACGCAAGTTCGTGCCTGCCACAACAGACATCGCGCGCCAGAACGCCGTCCCGACAGCTCGACCTGTCCCGGAACCGACACTCGACCCGTCCAAGATTTTGGCGCATCGTGTTCGGCTCGACGCTTCGGGACGCCACGTGGACTTTCTTATCCGTTGGACTGACCGCACCAGTGAGGACGACACATGGGTGCCATCCGCCTCGCTTGAAGCTTCCCCGCTTCTTGGTGATTACCTCGCCCGCAAGCGAGCTGTGGATGTTGACCACCTTTCTTAAGGGGGGGGGTAGTGTAAGGAAAAACCCTTTTTCCTTACTGGGGTTTACTCAACCGCGTACAACCCCAACTTTCGGAAGTGCACGTTCGGCCGCTTTGCTTGCTGCCGAAGCAACCTCGCGTCGCCTTCGGCTTTCCTTTGCCCAACCTGCACTCAACCTCGTGTTCCCGAGGTTCCCGCCTAGTTAGGTTGCCTCGCTATATAATCGCATGTCTTTCATTGTATCGTGAATCCATTGAGTCACAGCCTCGTTATTCGTTATTCCGCGCAACTCTGTTTGACAACTCATAACACCTTCTGTCCTTTGTTGCAACTTCCCCACTCATCTCACAGCCCTCACTCCTCCTATGCCTCCCACTCCTCTGACACCCCTCACTTCACTCATACACCCCACTCATCTCACCCTCCACTCCTCTCACATCCCCCACCCCTCTCACAGACAACACTCCTGACATACCCCTCACTCTTCTCATACCCATCACTACTCTTATACTGCACACTCCCCTCGTCCCCCCCACTCTTCTTATACCCCCTACTCCGCTCTGCCTACAGACCTCGCTCATCCCTTGACATGCCAGCTCGTGCTCTGCTCTGCTCCCTTTTGACTTGTGCAATGGCACTGCTTGCGTAGCATCATGTCAGGGTTGTCAAGTGTGCGGACTCGCAAGATGCCCATGATATGCTTGCATTGTGTTCATACAGTACTTTGGAGACTTCTGGTGCCAGATGCCGCAAGTCCAATGCAGGCGAATGAAGGTTTTCTGCCGAATGGGCTTATAAAATCACGCTGAACTGAAAGTACAGAACATATACATTCAGCAGCTGCAATTTGAACTGAAAGACAAGGCTCTCGGCCTACTGCCTGCCAGAAGGGCAAATGCCCTACAAATCCGTGGGTTCTGACAACGCAAAAGCGCCGCTCCAGGGCTACAAAACCAGCAAACTGTTGTTCAGCAGCAGGAAGGACTTGTGTTGTGATGTGTTACTCGGAAATCAATGGGCAAGAACAAGAAGGATAAGATCGTGCGGTCATTTTTGAAGAAGAGCAGCAGCAGACTTCCATTCAGAAGCATCCACGTGATCACAAACTGCCATTGTTAAGCAAAGGTCCTCACTGGGGTAATGGGAGTGGGGTAATGGAAGGATGGAGTTAATGGGAGGATGGGGTAATGGAAGGATGGAGTTAATGGGAGGATGGGGTAATGGAAGGATGGAGTTAATGGGAGGATGGGGTAATGGAAGGATGGGGTAATGGGAGGATGGGGAAGAATGAAGGGGTAAGAGAATGATGGGGTGATAAGATAATGGGGGTGGTAATGGGGTAACAGGGCGATGGGGTAATGAGGTGATTGGGTATTGGGATGACGGGGAGATAAGATCAAGCCTCTTCTTACCCAGGCCCTCTGGGCAGCATGTGAGCTTCTTGAGAGTGCTCTCTGCTGCAGGTTGTTTTTCGAGAATTCTCAAAAGCAACCTGCGCCTCTGTCACATCACATGCCCCATCCCCCATGAATCTCATTCTCTCCCAATTCTCTCCCATGAATCTCATTTCCCCTGTCCCTTGGGGCGGCATGTGAGCTTGTGGGAGGGCCAGGCAGCCTTCTGGCACGCTCTGCTGCAGTACGCCTCATCGCCACACCGCGCACACAGCTTCAACTCCACACCATCCCACTCCACACAGTTACACTTTGGCCCCTGGCACACCCGCCTGTACCCAGATTTCAGCCGCTCTGCTCGGGTGTCTACACCAGATGCATCTGTCCAGAAAGTGCCTGCTGGGTTTCCGGCTCCTTCACTTCTTGCGACTCTGCTCCCTGCTCCTGCTCGATTCCGAGTGACGCTGTTCCCTGCTGCTCGTTTTGCAGGTTCTGGAATTGCTGCTAACCCACCTTTCCACGGCTCCCCAAGCAGCATGGCTCTCAGGCAAGCCACCAGGTTCACTCCTCCCAACCACTTCTGCGCATAAACTGGCCCCTCCTCCCCTCCCACCTCCTCCCCCTCCTCTTCCCCCTCCTATTCCCCCTCTTCCTCCTCACTGCTCTCACGGTTCGTCCTTTTTCTGCCACCCGTGCACTCATCCCGCAGCTCTCCCATCCAGTTCCTCTTGTCCCCGGGCCATGCAGCCTTGGCAGCATGCCGCCATGCCCGAACCTCCTCCCACATCTCGCTATCCAACTGCCTCCACTTGCTCACCCCACCCTTCCCCTGCTCCGCACCCTCCTGAGCTGCCAGTCGTGCAAACCGCCCTGGATTTGTCTCCTCCTCTTTGGCCCACATCCATGCTATCATCGTACACGCATGCGTCAACGTCCCCATCTCCTTTTCCTCCGCGAACCGTTCCAAGTGTCCTCTCACATGCCGCCAGTTCACCCTCTCCTCTTGCCCTGACGGCATGAACATGCGGAGAAGCATGTACGCCTCTTTGGTTTGGTCGGGGGGGAAGAGGAAGAGGAAGCGGTGGATGAGGGTGGAGATGGGGCGGTAGGCGAAGGAGGCGAGCAGGGCGACGTAGTTGATGGCAGCGGCGTGCCGGAGGTGGCACTTCCAGCACCGCGTGCACCTGGAAGGCTCTCTCTCTGCTGCCATCAGTTCCACCAGAAACTCCACGTCTGCCACCGTGCGAACGACTGGATGGCTTTTTGAAGCTGCTGCTGATGACGCTGCTGCCGACAATGCTGCTGCTGACGATGCTGCTGCTGCATTCGCTGGAATCTTCCAGTCAACAGTGGCCCCATACACCTCCTTCAGGATATTCTTATATAGAATCCTTCCCTCCACGTCATCAGCAAGCTTTATAGCAGCTTCATCGCCAGCGGGCATCTCTTCCCACTCCCAGGAGAAGCCCCGCCGAACCAAGGGCTCCGGCATGGAGCCGGACCTGATCAGCAGGCTTGGGACATCCCGGAACGGGTGGCGGAGGGCTGGGAGATCCTCATTTGGCTTGATGCAGGTTTGGAGTGCGCATGCCTTCGGAGATTGCAGGTTCGGCCTGTAGGTTCGGACCCACATAAGAATGCAGCTCACCCTCCATGTCAGCACAGTCACGAGCGTGTTACTGGTTGCGGTTACCGCCTCCCAGCCATCCTTCACAGTATGTCTCACACCAATTTCAGCTCCACGGCTCTTTGTTGTGTCAGCACCCCCTCTTTCTCTTTCTGCAGCCATGCCTACTTTCTTCCTGGCAGCCTCAGCTGCAGAATTCTCCAGCTTCACTCTGTACTCGTTATTAGCATCTGTGAAGAATATCCGGCAAGCCTCCATGGAGAATTTGGGATTGGAGAGCACTGTAGCAACGGCAAGGGCGAAGTCAGTGGCGTCAATGCCACTCTCAAGCATGCCCTTGGGAATACCGCTGCTGCTGAAAGCCTTGGTGATGCGTGAGATAAGAGAACCATTGGGATCACTGCTGCTGCTAGTGACGACTTTGGGATCCCTCGTCTCATCCCGTCCTTCATGCGCAAGAAGACAAGCCATACCCCCCACATACCTGTTCCACACAGGACCCTCCAGCCCCTGCCTCCACTCCCCACTAAGGCCGGCACCACCACTATCACCTTTTCCCCCACGTCTTCCACCTTTTCTCCCAGACTCCCGCTTTCCCCCATTCCTCCTTTTTCTCCCACCATCTGCTATTCCGCCCTTTCCTCTATCCTCCCCTGCTCCACCCTCGCTCCCTCTGTGTGCCTCCGCACCACCAGGCAGCAGCGGCAGCACATGGGCTTTAAGCCCGTCTTTCATCTCCTCTCCTCCCTTCACTCCCAGCACCTGCACCAGCACCGACGCCAAGCTATCTTCCTCCCCCTGCCTGTGTGCCCCTAGCTCCTCCACAATAGGAGCGAAGAGGCCTGTAAGGGAGGCCAGCTGGGCCCTCCATAGAATCACAAAGCGATGAGAATTCGCTACAAGCACAAGGAAGGCGCAGAGGGACACAGCGTGCCGATAGGAGGCCCAGCAGCTGCTGCAGCGCCAGCAGCACTGCCAGGGGACCGAGGCAGGGGGGTGGGGCGAGGGGAGAGCGGAGGAGGCAGAGGAGGAGGCGGCATTTGTATCAGGAACAGCAGGAGCAACTGTAGCGGAGATGATTGCAGGCAAACAGGATCTGATCCTCCCCAGGTCCATGAGCACGCCCACACGAGGCTCAGCCATCCACTCGAGAATCATGGCTTTCGCACACAAGTAAGGGGCGCGTTTCCACTTGTTATCATTAAAGCCTCCTGCCGCCCCCATCTCTGCCGCTCCCTTCCCTTTCTCTGCCGCTACGTTTTCTCCCTCGCCTGCTGCTCCAATCACTGCTGTTCCCGTAGCTGCTACTCCCGCCCCCTCCTCTGCCACTACTTCTGCTACACCTTTTGTCGCGTGGTTTCTGTTCTCACCCTCCAGGGACCCACCTCCCCCCTGCCACTCTGGTGCTGCCAAGGGAATGGATTTGGGCAGTTGCTGAAGCAAGTCGCGTTGGAAGTCCTTTGCGCTCACGATGCCGAGGGCCGCTTTCCCTCCGGTGCCAAGCACACGGTGGAAGCAGCAGGAGCAGGGAGACTCAGCCTCGGACGCGCCAGAGCCGTATAAGTTGAGGAAACGAAGCATTTCGGATCTAGATATCAGCGTAGTGCCACGTTCCGAACCACCTTGTTTCACAGCGCTCTGCCCTTGCTCCTGGCTCTGTTCCCTACACTGCTCCTGCTTCTGCTCTAGCTGTATTCCGAAAATCCGCCTGCCAACTTTCTGCGATTCCCCCTTCTCTCTCTCCCCAGCATCCTCCTCGTTAATGCTATACTCGCTCTCGTCCTCATTGATCTGACTCTCATTCTCCTCCTCATCACTCGCGCTTTCCCTTTCCCCATCATCACTCGCCCTCCTCCTCGTCGCTGCTATCGCCCACATGGTCCCACTTGGAGTAGTCGATGGGGCGACTAACAGCAGCACACGGTGCACGGGCTCCAGGACCCATGGCTGCGGACACAGCCGCAGAAGAAGAAACGGGCCTTGCTATACAGAGGTGTTACTGAAAAGAGCGCCGATTGTATCACTAGGATGAGATGTGCAAGCTGGAGATCATTTCCGAGTCTTGTAAAGTAACAAAACGAGCGCTCATTGCAGTAGGAGATGTGCGAGGTGAAGCGGGTCGGGTACCGTCACGCAGCGGCTATCGGTCTCGCCGCGATTGGTGTTTAGATAATATTGACGAAACAGCCCGACACATACTCCCTCACCCACCCTGCATTGCTGCTCTGGACGGAAAAAGACTACTAGTAAAAATAGCACTTGGATATGTCGAGTTGCAACACTCTAGAGGTGGATAGTAGTGACGTATCGAAATCCAGCACATTTTATGAATTCAGTCTTCTACCCTAAAGTGATTGCTGTCTAGCACGAGCAAGTGGCTAACGCTGTCTGTGCGGATTAGGTATTTCGAAACCCTAAAATTAGGACCCGAGTGCTCATCATCCTGTGTGCGAAGACAGCGGATAGAGTCTGTTGCGAAATTCCTGTCTCCACGAATTGAGTGTAACGTCCACGAAAATAATATGGACGAAACACCATCATGAGTCGGAATTGTAACCTTACCTCGCAGTCCTTCGCAACGCGTTTGCTGTTTACTAACGAGATATAACGAACCTCGGTTCCCAATATTCCGAGACGTACATATATTCAGAAGTTGTAATTGTTATACACATAACTACTTTCCATTTTTTCATAAACCCTGTTCACAAGTGCATAAGCAGCGAAAACCGTATATTGCATTGATAAATATTGGCTTATGATATTTGAAGAATACCTTTTATTCCGTCGGTAAAATGTTTATTGTTAGTGCAATATAAAATTTCAAACAATGGGATTCTAGATGTTCTTATTTTCATACTGAATTATATTGCAAATAGAAAAGGCTTGATCTTTCAGACAGAGCGTAACAGAAACAACGTAACGATCATTAACAATACATTAAGTGCAATATAAATCATGAACTGTTACATATTGCGGACGCACCTTATACCATTCCACCATAAATGTAGTGCGGAGACGAGTAGCAAGTTCCTGATCCAATTGGCAGGCTCAAAGAATAAAGACAGGTGCCACAGTTGTAGCTGAGCTTAAGAGAGCTGTTACATCTGAATCTTACAACTGTAGCAACCGTTTGGTTGATTTAACCCTGCAAAGAAGAGAGGGGCAGAGATTTCACATGGGAAGGGAGAGACAGAGCAGGAGAGGAAAGGGAGGGAGAGACACATAGGGGAGGAAAGGTGCGAGTGGGAACCTCAGCATCCTTGCTTTATCCGGGATGACTCAAACAGAAGAACGGTTGTGCTTCCTGCACACTCATGCACAGCCAACAGCATCTAATAGGCTGAATTCCGCAGAACATGGCAAGGTCAATCCACCCACCTGTACTTCTGCAAGACATGGTAAGGCCGACGCACGCACCTGCGCAATCGTGCAAAGATTTCCCGATCTAACAGCCCCACCAGAAGCAAGTCACTCAACCTCTCTGTCCCTCCTTCCCATCGCGGAACCGTCCCGTCTCCATTCCGACCTCATCTGTTCCCATCCCCCTCCCACCTCCCTCAGTCCCACGCCCATCCTCTCCCCCCTCATTCCCCTCTCCTGCTTGCCCCTCTCCCCCTCTCCCCTTCGCTCTTTCCTCTACTCTCCTTGTCTGCACCCGAAGCACCATGGCCAGCTGCCGGATGCTGCGGGCAAAGAGCCTCCGCCTTGCCTCGTACTGAGAGGCAGCTGGGGAGATGGTCTCCACCTGCTGGCACGGCTTGCACAGCACTGACACTGGCAGCCTCCAACGCTCCTTTACTGTCAGATTGACAGTTCGACCAATTCCAGCCCCAATATTGCCACGGCTGGTTGCCATCGCTCTCTCCGCTTCTTCCTTCACCTGCTCCCTCCCTCCCTGCTCCCTCTGCTCCCCCTCCTCTCCCTGCTCCCTCTATCACCCCTCTCTATCCTCACCCTCTCCTCCCACCCCTCCCTTCCCTCCCTGATCCCCTCCTCTCAGCTAAAACCCTCCTCTCCACTTCCTGTTGCACTTCCACCAGCGTAAGCAATCCTTCCAACCGACCCCCATCCCCAACCACCACACATCACACTGTCAGCTCGCCAGCATTGCTGCCACAGCCTCCCGTGCTGTCCTCAGCCTATACTCCACCTCCTTCACACCACTCGCCTGAGGCTTACTTTCCACCTCTCCCACACCACTTGCTGTTTGAGTTGTCCCAGGAATTGCTACCTCCACCGCACTCGTGCTATTCTCTGCCCCATCAACACTCAGTTTTCTGCGCTCTATACCCTTCCACGGGTACAGCAGCAAAGGCAAGATGCAAATCGGGAGTATAAGCCACAGGGGCACAGTGTTGCAGCGGCGACAGCAAGGCTGGAGGCAGGGCACATGGCGGCAGAGACGTGCAGGTCCTGATGCATGGTATTGATGGCAGTGCGGGTGGTGTCGGTACAGGACTTGTGTCAGAGGTCCACTGGTGATCTCCGATTGATCCTAAGGAAGGGTTACAGGCACGTTGGCCTGGAGGGGTTATGGCACCCGCTACACAAACAAGCCCTTTTATCCCAATGGTTAGTGGCTGGGATTCTGACATGGTATCAGAGCAAAGGTCTCGGGTTCGAATCCCGGTGTGTGCACCTCGGGCATCCCAGTGCGGGGGGGTGTCAGAGGTCCACTGGTGATCCCTGATTGATCCTAGGGAAGGGTTACAGGCACGTCGGCCTGGGGGGTTATGGGCGCACTCACCCGCTACACAAACAAGCCATTTTATCCCAGTGGTTAGTGGCTGGGATTCCGACAACTTGCGACCCAAGTGGCGATGCCAACAGCTGCCATGAGGGGCAGGATGATGCGGTAGTCACGCGTGAGTTCGAAGTGGAGCAACATCGATGCGAGTGGCACCTGGCACACCCTAGCTAGCGTTGCTGCCTTGCGCACATGGATGGTGAAGGGGGTATGGAGAGGGTGCTTTAAGAGGAAATAGATGGATACAAAGAGACAGGGAAAACAGGAGACAGAGAGGTGGATAGACAGGGAGAGTAAGAGTGGCAACGTATAAGAGAGGAGACTTCTTGCCCTCATTAAGATGGCTTGGAAGTGAAACTAGTTGTTTAATTTGAGAACGCCTGTACTTCACGGCTGATGACAAAAAAAAAAAGACGTGATCCTCTGCTTCTTGGAATCTGGGAAAAGTCAGGCATAGGTCAGTCAGTCAGCCGTGGGCCAGTCAAGCAGTTAGCCATGGGTCAGTTAGTCAGCCATAGGTCAGCCAGTCAGCCATGGGTCAGTCAGTTAGCCATGCGTTAGTCAGTCAAGCATGGGTCTGTCAGTCAGCCATGGGTCAGTCAGTCAGCCATGGGTCAGTCAGTCAGCCATGGGTCAGTCAGTCAGTCAGTCAACCATGGGTCAGTCAGTCAGGCATGGGTCAGTCAGTCAGCCATGGGTCAGTCAGTCAGCCATGGGTCAGTCAGTCAGCCATGGGTCAGTCAGTCAGCCATGGGTCAGTCAGTCAACCACGGGTCAGTCAGTCAGCCATGGGTCAGTCAGTCAGCCATGGGTCAGTCAGTCAGCCATGGGTCAGTCAGTCAGCCAGAGGTCAGTCAGACAGCCACAAGTCAGTCATTCAGCCATGGGTCAGTCAATCAGCCTGGCTCAGTCAGTCAGGCATGGGTCAATCAGTTAGCCATGGGTAAGTTAGTAAGCCATGGGACAGCCATGGGTCAGTCAGTCAGCCATGGGTCAGTCAGTTAGACATGAGTCAGTTAGTCAGCCATGGGTCAGTCAGTCAGCCATGGGCCGATGAGTCAGCTGTGGGTCAATGCAGCAGCCATGGGATTCATGTAATACCTATGCTTGGCGCACTGCTCATCATCATCATCTTACAAGTCATATCACACCTCCCAAATCCCTTGTGACCCGTTTCCTATACCCTTCCTAGCGTCCTCTTCCTCCCCCTCCCACTCCAGCCTCTTCCTCGTTTCGATGTTCCCCTTCCCTCTTGTAGTTTTTTTTTTTTTTTTTTTTTTTTTTGTTGTTTACTTCCACTAGTGCGTGCACGTATCCATCAAAATGATCTCCTCCCTTGACTTGTTACTCCGTAAATTCGTCTCACTCCCCCATTCTTGTGGTCGATCCCTAAATCCACCTCTCGCTCTCCCGTTTTTTAACTCGAGTCTTTCTGGTGGGAGATTATGGCATTACTCTCCCCACTCTCTCTCTCTCATCCCCCCAGTCACACTACTGTCGCCAGGTTTCATTCCTTCCCTAAGGCTCTTCCCCTACCTCATCTGACATGGCATTGCGAATGAATGGATTCCGAGGGAAACAAAATTTTACTTGCCCATGTGTAACAGATGACAAGGCTTTGACCAGAAGTGGAAATTTTCCAAATGCACAGAACAGCGGGAGCATGTGATACTTTGCAGGTCAGACATGTGGGATGGAAAGGGGTTGCTATGTTTATACAGTGCAGATTCTGAAGCTGAGTGTATAGTGCTTTACGAGCCTGATGTTTGCTGCTGCCGCAGAAAAGGCTTGTTAGTTTCCATCTAGAAGCCCCAATTGTAACAATGTAACAGATATCATGCATGCAGCAGCCAAGAGAGTCAGAACATGTGATAAGCACAAAATGCGTGCCCATGAACAAGCAAAAGCTATAAGTGCTGCTCTAGTGTACTTACCCATTTTCTCGTTCCATCTATCTAATCACCAGAGGTGCTACCAGTACCCCTTCCAAACCTCAATCGACAGTAATTATTGCCCCATATATGTTTACAAATACCACAAACCAGTGAGGTGCATGTGACTTGATTACGTGGAAGAGCCACTTGGCATGCCCTCGCGCTCCGCACGGGCCATTTCAGCAGTGAAGCTGGAGGAGCCAATGGAACTCCCCATTTCCATGTTGATGAAAGATACAACCTCGCCCACATGGCTCTTCTCATGTTCTCCAAATGCTTCCTGCTTCAGCTTCACCAGCTCTCCAAGCACTTGATTCATGGAGGGGCGGGAGGACGCTGGCATGGCGGTGCAGGAGAGGGCAAGGCGAGCCCAGCGCAGCACCAAGTCATCTGGTGCGTCCAAATTGGGGTCCTTGAATGTCAATACAGCACCCGAGTCCACCAATGGGACCACCTGTGGGGTTGAATGCATGTTCCAAATGGATTATGGTCATACGAAAACGCATGAAGGGATGGAAAGATGTGTGATTTCAGAAAATTATTTCTACAAAGATGGAAAGCAGAATGACTGGAAGGTGAATCCTATCATATATATTTAAGGTGGGGTGAAAATTTTAATGTTCGTCTTCGTTAAGCTTGGTCTTACTCATTGCAGCATGTGTCCTGTTGGGAAAGTAGGTAAAGAGAACATAATCTGGGCTTATGCTTGGCTAACATCAACAAGAAAACCTTAGAGAGCAAAATACATTCAGGGTGCAGTTGACTTTCTCATATCTTGAAAGCAAGATCTGCCAGCATCGGTGGTACTGCTCACTGTGACTCACCCATTGTTTGAGATTGATCTGGTTGTCCTCTGTTACATACACAGCCTTGCGCGCCGTGATAACCACCAGCATCACCACGCCAAAACTGCAACCCAGGCAATAAACAAAGACATCATACTTGAAGTTTATGCCCAGATTACATAAGTCTTATGATCACACTGGCATCACACAGGAAATCATGCTCAATTGTACAAGCGTTTCATAGTCACAGTGGTAGATTCACTCCTTCCCTTATCTTATTCCACAAGCGATTGTCATCCAACCCCCAATCTCAGAAAACCAAGCATCACCAAGTTACTTGACTGGTCAAACACTGTTTAGGGTTCAATGTCAAGCATGGGCTTTCTTTGAGTGTGAGGCAAACGAAGCATAGAAGGCACAGCAAGCCCTAAATCCAAACCCTACCGCACCTAGAAGAAACGGAAACTCATGAACAAATGGTACTTCCATGGCAACGTGCTCATCTGCTGATCTTTGCGGTTTTCTCATGCCAACATGCTAACGTGCACAGGCTTGCTAGCCTGACCTACTCTGCTCACCTGTGCCAATTTGCTCACCAGCGCCAGTCTGCTCACCTGTGCACATCTGCTGCTGGGGTGGCCTTATGAGACTTGAAATAGGCAGGGTCCACATAGCCCGGTGTTCCCATCACTCGAGTGGCAGCCACAGACGTGCCCATAGCGGTGCCTCCACCAAGCTTCACGAGCCCGAAGTCTGCAATCTTGGCCTGCCCATAAAAAAACAACAGCAATAGTATGCACGATTAGGGATGAGCAAGGGGCGAACACGAACGTGTTCGCGTTCGCCCATGCACGAACACCCCTGTTCGGCGAACCGAACACTGTTCGGTTCGGCGAACACCTTAAGAAAAAAACAGGTGTTCGCCGTTCGCCTATGAAGGCGTGTTCGGGCGAACCTCGAACACGTTCGTGTTCGTCTAGGGGCAAATTGCAGCAGCGGCCCGAACACGAACGTGTTCGGGCGAACCTCGAACACTGTTCGGCGAACACTTTAAGCCAAAAAAAATAACCTGTTCGGTTCGCCTCGAACGTTTTTTTGCTCATCCCTATGCACGATGAGGAGCATGTTAGGCGGATTCAAAACACCACTTGATAGTAAAAAACAGATGGGTAAGATTAGGCAAATTACACCATGTACAGCCAGGCTTACGACAATATTGACATGCCTGCATTTTCCCATCAAGGAGAATGTTGGCGGGCTTGATGTCGCGATGCACGATGCCAATGGAAGTCATGAAGGTACTGCAACCCCTTTGCCACTCCGATCAAAACGTCAAGCCTTTGATGAAGCGAAAGAGGGTGGGGGACACCAGGACCGATCCAGCTCTCAAGGTCGTGGTTGGGCATGAACTCGTAAACGAGAATCTGCTCTATGAGTCGTGTTGAGGGGTCGAAGTCGATACAATATCCCAAGAGACGCACGAGATGCGGATGGTGCTTGCTTGCCATCTCTTTCACCTGAGAGGGAAAACAGGTAACAGATTAAAGGAGATCGATTTATCAAACCACCAGTTGTGCTAAGATTTGGCAGAAAATAACAAAGAAGAAACGTGGCATCAACATATCAACAAAAACTCACTCCTTGATACCTCTCTCTGGAAGTCATTTGTGAGCACTCGAGCTCGTTTGACTGCCCAGGCTTGATTGCAATCGTGGGGCGACACACCCTTGTAGACATCCCTAAAGCTGCCACTTCCTATCCTGTTCCCCTCTGCCCACTCTCCTGTGGCCTTGGCCAGCTCTGTTAGGGAATACTCTCGACACACGTATGGCCGTGCTGCATCCATCTCCACCACAACAACATCATCCTGCCTCCTTTGTGCTGCTACTAGTGGTAGCACTGCTGCAGCTGCTTCGGCTTCCCCTCCTGCTGCTGCTGAATTCTCATCCACATCCTCATAATTTGGTCCTGCAAAGACATGTAAGAGTCGGTTGAAGAGAAAGTGAAGGCCAAGTAGCTACTTTGAAAGAAAAAAAAGGACCTGAGATCCCCAACAACCTACTCTGGTTTGCTGATGGCCCAGGGAGGACCAGCAAGCACGATGGCGTCATTCGATGAATCCTGGCAAGTCGAGGTGAAGGCTCGATGAATTGTCTGCAAGAAGATGATTTCAGTAACATCCATGGTGAACAAACTCACCGAACCTTACATCACCATCTCGACTCGACTCCATAGTCGTGTGGCTGTTCGATGTCACGGCAATGGACCCTGACCCAAAACCATAGCCGCAATTTTCGTCTTCCCCCCTTGAATTGAACCTGCCCAGTTCGACCCAGAACCTACATTTCCCTACCCAGTTTGACTCAGACCATTTCGCTCTGGCCTTGAACCAGTCGTGTTCGATTGAGAAGCAATAGCAGACAGACTTGGTGATGTGGTTTCCTCATGCCTAATTCACATAGAACTGGAGGCAAAAGACAGCGTCATCACAGATACTTCCGTGGGGGACCAGCAAGTATGTGATAAATCGTTGCACCCGAAACATAAGATTCGGGCTGGCAATTCTGAGATTCCAACCAAAAGGACTACCTGGCGAGAACTTGGGCTGGACTGTGGCGAGAAAAATCCCATGGATTTGCTTGTATAGTAGAATTTGTTAGTGATATTAAGGCTTTGATTATACCCAGCTTTTATTTCGATTGCTTGTGTTGTGATTGCTTCATCTAGGCTAGGCGTCCACAAAAATATCTCACCTTGAAGAGAACTAGTATTTGCTGATTCCTTGCCATCCATATCAGTGCCGGTATCGCCTCCTCCTGCTGCCCCTTTGGTGTGGCATCGTGTGCACAGCAGCCAGCTCAGCAGCAGCAGCACGAGGATAGCCACAGCGCCAGCAACAGCAATGCCAGCAATGGCTCCGCTTGATAAACCGCCTCCACTCTGGGAGGAAGAGGGTGTAGGCTCACTGGGAGATAACGTGGGAGGAGGTGGGGAGAGGTTTGGCACCGGCGATGTGGAGGGGTTTGGCACTGGCGATGGGGAGGGCGTTGGCACTGGCGATGGGGAGGGTGTTGGCACTGGCGATGGGGAGGGTGTTGGCACTGGCGATGGGGAGGGTGTTGGCGATGGTGATGGGGAGGGTTTCGGCACTGGCAATGGGGAGGGTACAATTACATGTTAGAAAGACAGAGATAGGGAAGGGAAAGGGCATTCAACATGGGGATGGTGGGCTTGTTGAAAGGGGATGTGGCATTAGGAACATTCTGCATGGGGTCACAAAGCAAATAAAGGCTTAGAAGGGTTGAAACAGGTATTCTTCAGTAAAAGCCACGAGGAAGAATGCAACATAAGCACACATAAAGAGTAGGTAAGCTGTGCTTGTTACTGTGCCTGACACTAGAAAAGCTAACTAATCAAATGGCAATGCACTGTTCATCCAGTCAGCACTATGAGAGACAAATAAAAATGGGCAGCACAAGTAGTAGCCACCTGCAAAAGGGGCGTCTCACCTGGCTTGTCACATGTGGCGCAGAAGGAGTTACACAGCCCGCAAAAGAAACTATAATTGTCCTCCTGTGGGACCACGCAGCTGCTATAGTCAAGAGGGCATGTGATTGCTGTCGAATTTATGTCCCTGCATGGCCACATGTAGGTTCTGAAGTTAATGTTCACCAGTGGGCTTCCGCTTTGAATGAAACTCTATGAGGTTGCTGAAGTATGCTAACACGTCGCAATATTCTACAATGCCAATATTTCTTATAGGTTGAATTTTCCAGTAAACGATCCATGGGTCATTTGTGCTAGCTATAGCTGTCGGGCTGAAGAGGATTGGGCCGGGCTAGTCCAAGTTTGGCTCTTGGAATTACTTGGAAGCTATAGTACACCAGCGGAATAACTTCTTATTTAACACTTCAAGGATGCTATGATAGAAATTGAAACACTCTAATGTGGTAAAATGCCTTACAGGTACGAAAGACCAGCGAGATTGCCCAGTGTTGGAGGGAGCTGGCCAGTGAGATTGTTCGAACTGACATCACTGCAATGAAAAAATGAAAAACAATAGAGGAACAGATCGAGTCAAAAGACTGCTAACATGATTTCTGATGGCAAACCAGGCTGCTTCAAACCCCTGTCCCGTGGCAAACCCCATCGCTGCCAGACAAAAAGAACATGACACTTGAGCATGCCGAACAGACATGATGGGAGCTCTATTTTGAGGTCAATGACAAGTACAGGTCCGAGCCGTCCAAGTGGGTAATAACAATTTAAAAAAAAAAAAAAAAAAAAAAAAAAAACCATTGTTTTTTCCAAAGGTATTTTACTGTAGCTTTTGGGCAAAAGCCTTCTTTTGTTGGACAATATAACAGGCTCCCTCGAAGCAACTCCTGGTTTATAATCAGCCCTTTGTCCTGATTACAACAACTGCCCACGCTACAGAAGCAAATTGGGCTTGTTACCGCAAACAACCAAGGTTTTTCTTCCGCCCAAATGGTTGTCTCGTCTTTATCATATGCTCGTGACTAATCTTTGATAACTAGGAGTTATTCATGAGCAACTTAAGAAAACTGCTCGTCATGAAGTCTCCAGCCCATCTCAAATGGACGGGCAGTGAGACCAAGATGGAAATACTACCCACTCTCCTGATCCCATTCCGATAGTCATGTCTGACCATGTAGGCATAAACCAAATCGGGCTGGTCCAACTCTCCTTGCACATGCCCAGCATACCTTGCTCATGAAGGCTCCTAGGCTCATCAGCTCACCGGCTCATTGCTACTTGAAACAAAAGATCTCATCTTGTTCCTATGCTCATGCCTAATCTTCAATGACTAGGAGTGATCCATGCCTCTCGGGGGACATTTCCAATCGTGGAAAATTATCATCCGAACGAATTTTGACACCTTGTCATGAGGCCAAGTTGCAGTCAACGCGTGTTCCGACTCAAATGGATGGCTCAGGCAAGGGCAGACCCGAGTTTAGGGCCGGACCGAGACTGACCTTCTTACCTAAAGTGTAGCAATTGATGCGTCGGATCTCGGCTGCCTTCCTGCAAGGAGGTCGTCCACTGTATGCTCATTGTTGCGGATAAGGTTGGGAGGGAGGTCTCAACTTCGCACGGTTTAGTAAAAACACCCTGTGATGGGCCCCATATAGATGGCCCCAAAGCTGACCCTTTACTGCTGATGGGCCTCGATGGCCCTTGTGGGCTGGCCCCGGCTTTCCTTGCTCATGCGTAGAGTGTGTTTTCGTATTCAAACCAGAAAGAAGCTTAAGCTGTAGTTGAAGGAGAAAATCAGAGCCTTTCAAGCCAAAGAAAGAAGCGCAGTTGAATTGCTTTGATACTGACAGGTCAATAAGGCTGCTCATGCTGCCTAGAGTGGATGGAATAGACCCAGTCAAACTGTTGTCATGTAAAGACCTGATGGTACATACACACGAAGGATATAGTCAGCTTAGTTGAGAAACCACAATGGTAGCATAAGTTTAAATTGAGAAACCACATTCTAGCCAAGATTGTGTGGGAACAAAACTTAAGCAGAGGGCCAAGCAAAGGCCAGCCCAGGTGCATCTCCAGTTCGTGTGGATTAGTAGTGAGTCCTCGCCTGCCTCCCTACCTGTCTGACAGGCTTTGTGTCAAGCCGACCCATTGCCCTTGACGGGAGCTGATGGCCTAAATCGGGCTGGTCCAACTCTCCTTGCTCATGCCCAGCATACCTTGCTCATGAAGCCTCCTAGGCTCATCAGCTCACCGGCTCAATGCTACCTGAAACAAAAGATCTCATCTTGATTCCACGCAAGTGCCTGGTCTTCAATAACTAGGAGTCATCCATGCCTTTCGGAGAACATTTTCGAACGTAAAAAATCATCATCGGAACAAAGCGTGTCCCGACTCAAATGAGTGGGTCAGGCAAGGGCAGACCCGGGTGCATTAAGCTTGAGTTTAGGGCCGGACCAAGGTTGACCCTTTCATGTAGCAATTCAAGCGTCGGATCTCGGCTGCCTTCCTGCAAGGAGGTCGTCCACTGTATGCTCATTGTTGCGGATAAGGTGGGGAGGGAGTTCTTAACTTTGCACGGTTTAGGGCACGTAACCATTTTGCACCCGAACGTTCGAACCGTGGACCGTACAGCTAATGAAGGGTAACGGGTTTCGCGTAATGTCGTGAGGGCGTTTGCCAAGGTGTTGGCGACATCGCCAACAAAACGGACTGTCGTGACACTTTTTCCAATTTTCAACGGTTCGAATAATCACCGTAGACAGTCCGAATTCCAAACGGACTCTCCGATTGCCCTTGCACATGATTGGCGAGCAAAGTAAAAAATGCCAACTTGCCTCGTCCACCAACAAAAACATGCGGTGCGACTTCACAAATTGACATTGACCAACCAGAGACAACCCATTTACAAAAACGATTCGATAGCAAAAATTGCGGATGGTCGTGAAACGCGTAACGTTACTAGTATAGTAGTCGTAGAACTGTACAACTGGAAAAAGTGTCACAACTGCCTTCGAACAGTCCGAAGTTGCAAAGGTCCCGATCTCGATAATTGGACCGTCCGCTTCATTTTAAGCGGACAGTCCATCAAAATCGTAAAATGCACAATGGTTACGCGCCCTTAGTGGAAAAACCCTGTGATGAACCCCATATAGATAGCCCTGAAGCTGACCCTTTACTGCTGATGGGCCTCGATGGCCCTTTTGGGCTGGCCCCGGCTCTCCTTGCTCATGCGTAGAGTGTGTTTTTGTATTCAGACCAGTAGTTCAAGCCAAAGGAAGAAGCGCAATTAAATTGTCTTGATACTTACAGGGAAGTAAGGCTGCTCATGTTGCCAAGAGTGGATGGAATAGACCCAGTCAACTTGTTGTTATGTAAGCCCCTGATGCAAGGATAGAGGGATAGAGATGTAGTAGGCTAAGTTGGAAAACACGCAGTTTCCAATCTGCATATTGCGTTCATACTCATCAGAATTCTGTTCGCCTTGTATTCTGTGGAATTTGGCGAACTCTAATCTGTGTCTCCCACATCACGATCTCCACTTGAGTTTTGTGTGCATTTTCCCCTCACCCCCATCTATTCAGAAGAGTCTCCAACCAGACTCTACTTCTGCAGCATAAACGAGCATTTTGTTCACCCGATACTCCCTCCTAGGTCTTCTGCAACCATACCCTCCACTCCTTCACACATCTTCCTCTTTCTCGGATGCAAAAGCGTGCGAGATCCATGGTATTTTTTTTTAGATGCGCGTGGGAATTCCGAATTTAGACGCGCGTGGGGATTCTTGTGTTCTTCGTCAGATCCACGCGGATCATACCAACAATTTGTTAGCTTTGTGCAAATAAAAGGGCAACCCCAGCCTGTCTCCTTGCTGCAGGCCTCTGGCAGGCTTGGTGTGAAATCGACCCATCATAGGCTGCCCCCCACGTTGGCCCCTAGGTCAGCGGCCTGGCTCGGCCCAGCGCTAGCACGTGCTCGTGCCTAGCATGTATGCTCATTCCTGGCTTGGTGTTACCATCATAGATCCTCTTGTTTGTGTCATGTAGGCTCCCTTTTCTATTCTCTTGATGATACTCACAAGTCATAAAGGTTGCTCATTTTACCGAAGATGGATGGAATAGACCCACTCAGACTGTTGAGGCCAAGATACCTGATGAGATTGTGCAATACAAGAAAGGGTGTTAAGGGAAAAGAAAGGGTGTTACGGGTGGAAAGAAACGTGTATACAGAAAGAGAGCTTCACCATTGTTAATGGACACATTAGAAGGGCTGAATATGTGGATAGTAACGTATATGATCAAACCGTTAATACCAAGCTCATGCGAAGGGTGCCACAAAACTGAAACAAGAAAATGAAATGAGCGAACCAAATGGAGAGATGAGTGGTATGAACGATTTAAGAAACCATGACATCTCGATATTCGATTCGGATTTAAGCTAAATACTCTAAAAGGTGCTTGATTTTGAGCACAACACAAAGAAGCTGTTAAACTTCACCAGTGACTTGGTAACGCAATGTTGCAAGAAACAGCCATTACAAGACTCGAAGGCAAATAGAAGAACAAGCAATAATCTGGTCGTTACATAAGTGTGCAAACATATACACATATAGAAGCAACAGATATGGATAGACATGAGCATTTGACCCGAACCGACTCGATGTGTATCGGGTATCGGGTCGGGTCA